TGATGTGGACAGGGAGGTTGGGACCTTAGCAGGCATTAGTTGGGTTGACTTAAGCTGCCATGGGATTGTAGGGTCCTTCTATAAACCTGATTTCCTTTTTTTACACAGGAATTAGCATTTTATCGCATTTTAAATGAAAGCAGAGATACTTTCAGCTCCTGACCTCTTCATCAAGAAGGGTCATTTCCAAACTTCCTGGTTACTGCAGGCCTCTCAGTCATTGTACAAAACCAAGCAGCAGTGATTTGTTAGATTGTCATTAATAAATTATGCTTCTGCATGATCCTTGCTCCAACTTTAGCTGCCTTAGGAGAAGCTGGGTCTTGAACTTTTTCAAGTGGGTATTAAAAATCCCTTCCAGTGATGGCTCTATCTTTGGCCTTCTCCAAAGATGCAGATAATTCATTTCAGTGATATGCTATTGCTGGAACAGTTTCTAGCACTGATGAAACTTCAGTGAGGTATACCAGTTAAGCTGCAAGCAAACACCTTTTGTTAGAGCGCTCAACCCTACACCATGGGAGATAAATCAGTTGCATGTGTGAAATTATGTCTGCAAAATAGCTGGATGCAAAGACTTCAGCATGGGATTTAGGTACCCCAGTTTAACAATAAGTTTATTCTATCAAACTGAAAAATAGCTGGAAACAGAATTGTGGTATTCAGAAAAGCCTAAAACTCATGAAATTTCTGAGTTTACCCCCTTGGACAGGTACATGAGCATTTAAGTAGTAAAGTCTCATCTGTTACAGTAGCATCATTTGAAAGCTTCACACAAACCAGCTCCCGGTAATTTTATAGGAGCTTCGGTCTCTCACTATTGCTAACATTTGATTGTTTAGAATAAAATAGATCTAGCTTGCTAAATCATGATTTCAACGAGTCTTGTTAGTATCAAGGAGCATATACAGAGGACAGGGAAATGAAGTTTCTCCAAAACTTTATTGTCATGAGTTTGTGGGTTGATTGAACTTTTGCTTTTATTTTCTTCAAACTATCATCTACACTTTAGTCTTACATATAACTCAAAACAGAGAAGCAATGTACGTAAAATATTTACCACGTGTATTCAGACATGGATCTTTTGTATTTACTCAGCAGCCCACACGTTCTGGATATATCCCTAAGGCATGTGTCCAGTATAAGTAGCTGCTAATATAATTCAAACTGCAGAGAATGTAAATAATATGCATCTATGAAACAAGTTTTAATGGCTTTATTGTCGCAAATTTACGGGTATAGCTCACTGTCTTGCTGCAGAGAATGCCATGCAAGAGACATTGAGTAACGTCAGCTGCTTGAAAAGTGCTTCACTAAATTCTCTTTTCTGGAAGTTTACCTGCTATGGGCCTTGTATTACCATATCCTCTGTCATTCAACAGCATTGCCGAGGTAATGCGGGATGTGAAAAAGAAAGATTTCTCTAAGTTACTTCCTTATCTTCTCCACTCAGGGGGTTCCAGTAAGTTGCACAGGCTCCCAATATGAGTTAGATGAGCTAGCCAGGGAGTAAACGTACACAGTAGTGCTTCCACTTGGGTTTGAACAGTGATTGAACTGGCTTGTGACACAGGACTTGGACCTTCTCTGAGGTCTGTGTAACACTGAACTGATGGGCAATACTTGAGAAGAATGTTAACGATAGAGGGAGATCTTCACAGAATGGTTGAAGTTGGAATGGGGGTCCAACCTCATGATCAAGCAGGGACACCTAGAGCCAGTTGCCCAGGACCATGTCCAGATGGCTTTTGAATATCTCCAATGATGGACGCTCAGCAACCTCTCTGGGCAACCTGTGCCAATGCTTAATGTCCTGGTTTGAGGTTTGGTTTAGTTCCTTCTAAACTCATACATCTCCTTTTCCCTCCTCTGCCTCTCTCTTTGAAGACGGTTAGAGGGGAGCATCTGTTGGTCCCATCTGGAGTCCCCCAGGTCCCCAGTAGCCAATTTGGCCTAAACCACACTTAGTCAGCCTCACAGTAGAAAGTTTTTCCTGATGTTCAGATGGTACCTCCTGTGTTTCCATTTGTGCCCATTGCCTCTTAAAAATCTTGGACTAGTAAACTTAAATATGTGGCTAAAAATGTTGTCTCTCATATTCTTAGACATCATGGCAAAAAAAAAAAATCCATTAAAATAGAGCAAATACTTTTTCATCATGCTTATTCTGCTTCCATTAAGAAAAGGCAGCATAGTGGGTTAATGGTAAATGAATCACTGATCTCCAAATGTCAGTCCTTTACCTATATATTGATTTCTGAAAATAAAATTCAAATTAAAATAAATTTCAAATTAATCTCTGATATTCTTTTACACAGCAAATTGTTGTTCTATGTAGTTTAAATAGCAGCTGGAACAATCTGATAAAGATGCACAGAAATATTAGCAGTTTTAATCTAAACATTTATCAGACCTGTGAAGCCTGCAATTTTATGGTACAGAAAATATAAAAGATGCAATGTCTTTAGAGAACTTGAATGCCATAAGTTAACAGCTGCAACTTCATGTAGCTGTGCTTCACTCTGCAATCATAAACTCAAGCTATGAGCGCTCTTCCCAGTCTGAACACTCATGATCAATTTGAATAGAAATGATTCACTCAGGATTTGGGAAGCAAAGCAAAGAGGCTGAAATGAATTATTCACAAATTGCTGCTGAAGAGGTAAATACCATAAGGTCAGAACTTCTCAAACCAGTTTATGAATACTGCAGCAAAACCCCCAATAACCTGGGAGTGTGCTTTGGGTGGCGTGTTGGATCCATGTATTAAGAACCAGTTTTGAAATTTTCTCTTCACTAGGTAATGTCAAAAGGACTCGAGGATGTCGCACTGGAGGCTCAGTGGAAGTGAATCAGTCTCCTGCGCTTTTAGGATTCTTAGTACATTGCAATGCCTTTGAACCCTCTTTCCTCCCCTGCTATTTCTGACTATTCCTCTGAGCTTTTTTGAACCAGATTTGTCTAAGATCTCGCCTAAATTTATCCATGTATCTCCAAAATTGCAAATGATCAGCTGGAGTTAAGCCAGCTGACTTCAACAGGAATATGCATAGGCGCGCCAGTTAGATCACAGTCTCTGTGATTTTTCTGATCAATGCAGAGAGATTTTAATTTCAAATGCATATTTCATGCTTAGAGGTAACTTTGGCCTAATTTATCCCTTTCACTGAAAACATATCTCAGACTTCAGTTGTAGTTCGTAGCCAGGACTATATGAAGCCAGTAAGTATCACCCAAAGCCACCTGGAATCTGCCCACCTGAAGATCATGCAAATGTTCAATTGGGTAAAATCCCCTCTTTGAACACTATTAGGCGAGTTAAATGTCTTGGCCCTTATGTCTGGATGTGGGCAGGATGAATGGCTCTCATACAGGGAAACAGTGAGTAGTATTGTATCTACTGCGGAAAATTCCACATATGCTGTACCGTGTTGTGTTGGCAGCGCTCTGAAGCAGCACGAAGAAAGGGCACATTGCTCACAGTGCTAGCACATATGATTAAGATACAGCAAGACAAGTAGCAATCTCTCACAAGAGATTTAAAAATCACTTATTTAGAAAACTGATGCTTCCAAATCACTGAGCAAGATAAACAGCCCACAGGGAAAACTTGATCTTATTATAATCTGAACTACCAGCTACTCCGCTACTGTAGCTCAGAATATTCAGATGTTCTGGATATCTTCCAAAATCCGTGTCCCCATCAATCTTTAGATGTTGGTTTTAAAGTGGTTGGGGTTTTTTTCTTTCTTTTTTTTTTTTTTTCTTATTCTAAAAGACACTTTTCAATTGCTTTTATTCTTTTTCTTATTAATCTTTAAGAGCCATACAATGTATAAAGCATGAAAATACTCATTTCCTGAACTAATTTCTTGTCACTTACTGAATGGAAGCACGAGCTATGCATTTATACTAGGAATAACAACACTGTGGTTGGTTGGTTGGAGCAGGTGCATTTGTTATCAGATAAAAGCAGAAGAATCACAACTATTTTCCTTGACTTCTGAAACATCACCAGCTTTCGATGATGAAATCTCTATAACTATTCTTCTAATCTTGTTTGTCTGTCTGCCATTTTGGCTTTAATAGCGTCTCTGCTTTTCTGATATACCTGGTTACAATAATCTTTTACAGTCATTCTTTAGCCTCGCGGGCTACTGCAACTGAATTAATTATAGCAAAGTGCTGCAATAGAACAGCAATGATGTTCTTTGAGGTGTGCATTGCACCAGATTCCCAGATGGATGAGTTTTTTAATAAACTCAGCTTCACAACATGTATCACTTTTCTCAACTGTCTAGAAACCGAGTTTACATGTGCAGTTCTCTTTCACATGATTTAGTTGGGCTAAGGGACCACGCTGATGTACATCAAGCAAAGGTGAAAAGTCGTTGCACATATAGGTAATTTTAATCCATTCCATTTTTAAATACCACAATAAATTTAATTTTCACAATAAATTAAATAGCCATATTCAGTTTACAAAATAGAATTACTTAGTGTGAAACCAGTATTTATAAACATTGTACACTATGTACATGATGTTTAGCTTTGTCGACACACAAGCATAGAAGAAAAAAATTATTTGACCTTTTTTTGACACATGATTGACATGCTACAAGTGACACTATGGTCCATACAATAAAACAATAGTGCAAACTCACCACAGGAACTCTGAAACAATGTCATTTGTATGAGATAAGATATTCATTTCAAATAATAAGAAAATAGTACTATCCACTCTCATTGTAAAAATTCAGCGCTGTGTTTAAAGTGTCAGTATTCCTTTAGCAATATACATACCAAATATAGCCTGAAGATTATGCTTTCTCACAGCTTCACAGACTTTTGACATGAATTTTTATGGCATAAACTGACATTCTGCTTGGATCAATAAGTATGTCACATAAACACTTCACTAAGCGAGAGGAACACTGACCCTTTTAACGGTGTCTGACTGTATGTCCCTAAATACCTCCTTTCCCTTTATTATTATATCTTAAAAGATGCAACTATGCTGACAGTAAATTTATGTTAGTTACTACTCTGTAGAAAAAATTGATCCCACTGTATATTTGGTCACACACTGCATATGTACACGTATGCATGAAAAAAGTTACTTTGATAGCCGTGTCTATGAAAAGTGCATATTTTAGCAGAGACATTTATTGCATGTCTCAGGTGCAACAGAAAGTGTTGTATGAAGTTTAATTTAGGGCCAGTTAAATGTCCTCCCAGTGATCTGGTAAAATTTTTGATTAAAAGGATGAAAGAACTTGCGCAATTTGGTAATGACAGAGGTATCCACCTCTGGATGGATGCGTCCCTTGCTACCCGCCAGGCACTTGTTAAAGACAATGTTAAATCGCAAGCAGTAAAACCCTCTGGTGGCATTGAAGTATAAATTGTACTGACTTATCCTTGGAGGAAGATTTAGGAACTTCTCGACCAGCTGGAGTTCTGGCAGTGGTTCTGTGATGAGCCGGTCTCCGTCCACGATATGAAACTGCTCGACTGGGAAGTATTTTAACCATCTCTCCAGATGTTTTGTGTAGATGCTGGTTCTTACAGCCTTATATTTAGTGTTTACTTCACAGGTATTAGGATCAATAGCCAGCTTCTCAAATTTGTAGTAAGTTTTGTTCTTTCTTTCCTTACCTTCCAGCACCTGAGTGTAATCAGAAATAGCTCTTGTGGTAGGTTCCCTGACAATGATCAATAATTTGATAGATGAGTTCATTTTGTAAATCCTTTCAGGTACTTCCTCGGTGATGAAATACGCGGGGCTTTTCTCAATTGTTATTTGATGAGGGTAAGAAAAAGGCATTTTTTTCCGGTACCACTCAATCCCCTTGGCATAGTTCTCGTCATTGTCAAAGAAGTGAATCTCTTGAGAAGCTTTGACCACTGCGGGGTGAAGGTTCAGCATCTCCAGCAGCGCTCGGGTGCCTCCTTTCCGCACCCCAATGATAATGGCCTTGGGAAGCTGCTGAACCAGATTGTGCAGTCGTATTTGCTCCTTGGTGGCATTGCCCTTTCGGAACTCGTGGAGCAACCCTCGCTTGAACTGCAGAGCTCGCAGCTGGATTTCGTCCTGGCCGCGGGATCCAAAACGACCATCGATGGGGCAGAGAGGCTGCAGTCTGCAAGCAAAACAAGAGGTATTTGTAAAAAGAAGGTATCTCATAAGGCAAGTTTTCTGTATAAGTCAGTCACCCTCATGAAAACCTTTCACAATATGGTGTGATGCGTGCATCTTTCAACTTTTATTTTATTCTGCCAGTGATTAGATTGTTTGCAAATGGTTTTATTATTTATTCTAGTATTTTGCTGTGATTTGTCTGAGTAACTTCTAACTCCACTCTTTTGCTCTTTTCAAGCGTAGGCACTATGATTACAGTTCTCGGGGCTTCTTGAACCTTGCCTCACCTCCCACGTTGCTGATTACTTTGTGATTGCTTTGCCAGTTTTTAAAACATTCTAAGATGAATTTTATTTGGTCATTTTGATCTGCAAATCCAGTTCATTTAAGTCATCTCTTTCCAGCACTTCTCCTGTTCTACCCTGAATTATTTCCTGTGCTTTCCATTGTGTTGACTTTATTAGCTGCTGATCCAGAGTTGGCCTTTTTAGTGAAGAGGAGAAGAAAGGGTGAAAAACAGCTTTCTAGGCATCACCTTTCAATATTTTCCCTCCTCTTTAGAAGGTGCCTGGTGTTTTCCCTGGGACAGAATCAGAAAGACCAAGGTTCTGAATCAGGAATGATTAGCAAGGCACAGAAAGAGCGGTAAGAAAAAAAATTAAAAACGTATTTATTGCATCATTACATCAATGATTTTCTTACCCTCACTTATGTATCCTCCCACTGAACCTAATTTTGTGCCTTACTGTTTCTTCTTTTGCCCCTGAATTTTTGTGCTATTCTTTTATATTCACCTGCAATTATTTCACCTATTTTCCACTTCTTGTATTTGATGTCACTGAATGCAAGTGATTCACTAAGAAAAACGTTCAAATTTTGCTACTAGAGAAACTTCAGTAAGCTCTCACCTCCACTTCCAAATCAGTGCTTTGATCATTATGCAGGCCAATATTGCACTGAAGATGAAATTGGTGTGTAGAGGGAGCTTCCAAAGTCCTACAGAAAAAAATTATTAAAAATTTTGTGGAGCCATTCTCTCCAAAGTTAAAGATATGTAAGAACAAAGGTTGCCTAGGCAATTTTAATATGAGCTCGCTGTGCATATATATTATGATACATTTTTTAAATTACATGGCCACATGCTATTATTTTTCACAGGACCCCTGCCTCAGCCAGTATACCAGATGGGCAATGCTCATTAATAGCTGTTTAGGTATTCAGTATTTATGCTGGTTTCTCAGCATGTGGCCCCTCACTCATTTACTATATATTATTCAAAACCTGCTTTCAAGACAGAGTTATTTATTTCTTTATGGCTTTTCCATCCATCACTGCTTGTTGGGGTCTCTAATTTGACACGGATGCTAGGACAATGAATGGTTGGGACAAAGTAAGTTTGATCCCCCTGGCTGACCTGCTAGCTGTTTCCTTGATTATCCAGATGCTGAGAGATATAGCCTGTCCAGGCAGAGTGGAAGAAGCAACCCAGATTACATTGCTGGGTTTACATGAGCTCTAGCTAAGTCCTGCGGACTAATTAGAAAGTGTGATGAGAAGTGAGTGCCTGTTGTTATTTCTTTTCTCAAGTTTCCAGACTTCTTATCCTTTGCTCTCTGCCATCTACTGAATAAGAGCCTGGCTTGGTTGCAAAGACTGAAGCATTGCCTTCCAGTAGCTAAAGAGGGCCTACAGGAGAGCTGGGGAAGGACCTTTTACTAGGGCATGTAGTGATAGAATAAGGGGGGATGGCTTTAAACTGGAAGAGGGAAGGTTTAGATTAAACATTACAAATAAATTTTTCCCTCTGAGGGTGGTAAGGCACAGGTTGCCCAGAGAGGTTGTTGAGGCCCCATCCCTGGAGGTGTTCAAGGCCAGGCTGGATGTGGCAACCTGGTCTAGTGGGAGGTGTCCCTGCCTATGGCAGGGGGGTTGGAACTCGATGATCTTCAAGGTACCTTCCAACCTAAATCATTCTATTATTCTATGATTCTATGATTGCAACACTGATGCAAACCTGCCAATAAAACAAAACCAAGAAAACAAGCAGAAAGCAATGTCTTGACTTGACAGTAGTACAATTTGGTCAGACTGTGGTGTGGCTGGTAAGACAGTCTTTCTGCAGCAGCGAGGTGGCAGTTAAAAGCCTAAGAAACAGAAGCTGCAATTGAAGCTTCTCTTCCCTCTCCTTCTGTGTAGTTGTTATTTGTTTTCAAGCAAAAAGGATTCCACAACAGCAGTTCCAGACCCATCTCAACTAATTTTATCTCTTTTGCTCAAAAAGACAGTTAGCGCTGCCTTCAGTGTAACACAACAGCTTGTCAAACAGGGTGGTTTCCTTTAAAAGTAAATAAATATTCTAAATGTCCTCTAGCCTAAGGGAAAAGATTGGATGTTGTTAAAAGTCCCTCCTCAAC